TTTTTTTTTTTATGATGATAAAAAAAAAAAAAAAAAAAAAAATTGCGCATCATTGAGTTTTGTCCGTTTTGTTGCTCGATTCTTTGTTCCACGCTTGAACGGAGCTGCAGGAACTGTTCCAGGCTGATGTAGAGGCTGCCTAAGTCTGTGGCGCCCCCTGTCTGTAAATAGTTAGTTGATCCTGGGGACTAAATCCATTCTCATTGTTTGATACGTGTCGGTTACGGCCTCGCTCACTCCGCCCATAGGAACCGTGCGCATCTAATTCAAGCCCCGACCAGGGCGCCCCTAGCGGCAAACGGGTCCATCGCATCGGGGAGCTTCTGCCAGTCGCTGCGTTGGTTGTGCCTTGTAGTGGGTTAGCGTTGTAATTTCTGAGATGGCTATTCCGCACCAAGAAAGCCGCAACAATTGCTGTGTGGTCGGCTGCAACAGTACGTCGAAGATCGCACACGGCACGAAGTACTACATCGTCCCTTCGAAGCCGTACGGCCGTACGAGGCGGAGTACTGCGCGACCAGGCTACAGGTGCGACTTGTGCGTCCATACAGGTTAGTGGCGTTTCTTACCTTTCTGTTCGCGCTTTGTTTAAGCTGCTGACGAATAATACGATTAACTTTTTTTCTATTCTAGCGACGATGGAACAGAATCGACACCGACGGCAAACTCTAAAGTGTGCGGCAAATACTTCACCGGAATCGAGAAGCGGAGTGCGGTCGCCCACCTAAGCCTACACTTGGATGTTTCCATCAGTCTACAGGAAGATAGTAGTGGGAATCGCGGAACGGCGCGAAAAAAATCGCCCAGTTATTGTCAAGCTGATTCAGAAATAAACGTACATAATTACCACGGTCCACTCAACGCCAACTACATTTTTTGCGGGCACGCTTAATTTTGTTAGCGGAGTACGGCGCTCCGTGACATCCACTTGTCCGTCGAAACGGACCTCCTTCACGTCGTATACACGCGGCCAGATTCACGAAGGAGTATCCCTTCTTTATATTGGTACTACGGAAGAAGCTTTCTAGATTCGTAACCGCCTTAAACCCCGTCGTAATCACCCCGGGAACACTGTCCGCTGTGCTGCTCGTCGCCATTGCTTCCCCCCGATGATTCTGCACCGGCTACCGAAGAAGTTTTCCGGATTCGTAATCGCCCTCTGTCCTCTGTGGTGTTCGTTGCTTTTACTTCCCAATGATTCTGCGCCGACGGCACCGGCTACAGAAGGAACTTTCCGAATTCGTAACTGCCTTAAATTCCTTCGTAATCACGACGGGGACACTGTCTGCCGTGCTGTTCGTCGCCATTGCTCCCCGATGCTCCTGCGGCGGCTACCGCTAGGTCGCGGCGAACAATAGGCGACCGCCGCGACACGGCCGGCATGCTCGCTTCCTATACCTTTACGGCACGGGCCACCAGAACACCGAACATGGTGTCTGAAGTGTTAAATTACTCTGGACTCTATACACACGTATGCCGAATGAGTCCAGCCAGCAGTCGGTCGGCGTCAATCTGCGAAAGCCTTCGACTTTTCAAACGCAGGGAGCTGGCCAGTCTTCTACAGGTTACTAAAAAAAAGTAATTGATTACAACTACTATTACTCTTGGGCCTTGGCTAAAAACTATTCGATTAGATTACTTGATTACTCGACAGCAAAAGTAATTGGACATTACTTTAAGAAGTAACCGTTACTTTCCCGATTACTTTATTGTGTGAAGACTTAAATCTTTAGCGCTCATAACAATGAACTAGTTCCAACCTATATTTCACATTTTCAGAAGTACTGAAGAAGGAAAAACGGGTTCCCTCTTCGTGGTCGTTGCACCTTCACAATGCGGACCCAAGCATAGAATTCGTTTGAAGAAGTTTAATGATTTCGGCGTTCGCCAGTAAGGGGGGGGGGGGGGGGGGGGGGGGGGGGGGAGAGGGAGCGGAGGGGGGTTCTCAAAGTTTGCGTCGCTCATTTTTATTATTCACATGTGGATGAACTCGCATGTTATACAAAAGAGCAGCAGCTCCAGGATTTGAAACGGATCACGTGTAGTATATATTAGCGGAAGAGATCGCCCCGACCACTTCTCAACTCGAAACCTTGCTTGTCACAAAGACCACGTAGGGGAAACAGGGAATTAAAACTTTGGTTTGGGCTAGTTGGTCCATTACTGAATAAAAGGTTAAAAAGCGCGAACAAACGGGGACAATGAAGAAGCAACTGTCCTGTCATCCGTGTTTCTTTATTGTCCCCGTTTGTTCGCGCTTTTTAACCTTTTATTCAGAAATAGAGAAATATTTGAACTGGCTTTGTTACACTCTGCATCCGCTTTAAAGTTCTCCTACGGGCTGCGAGTAGGTACCGTAAGCAGGATTTTTTTTAAATTTCTGTGTGTGTGTGCGTGAGGGGGCTAGTTTGAACGAAGGACTTACAAAGCTACATCTGCTCCCTCAAACGTCTCCCTAAATGGCCTTCGTCACGCACTGGGGCTTTCCTGGGGCTTCCCACTCTCCGGTCCCAACTCAAAAAAAATAAAAAAAAAAAAAAAAAAAAAAACGGACATTCCGCAGAAACTGTACATGCAAAGGGGTTTACCTCGTTTCCTACAGCTCCGCAAAAAAATCTTTCTTTTTTTCCGTCCGAAAAAAAAAGGCAAAATTTAATTTTGTCATTAAAAAAAAAAAAGTGTGTGCAGGGTGGGGGGGGGGGGGGGGGAGGAGGAGGGGGGAGGGGGGAGGGATCCTGGGGAAAAGTAGTAACGGTTAGAAGTAATTTTTATTACTCCAAAAAGTAATCAGATTACTCTTGTGATTACTGCCTAATCAAAGTAATCCACTGACTGATTACAAAATTGCTCCAAAAAGTAATTGATTACAAGTAATTTGATTACTTATAATGCGTACGGTACAAGTCTGGAGCTGGCCCACCTGGCGATCGAGACCGGTCTACACCGTTGTCAAGGGTCTTAGTCAAGTGTCCCAAGATGTCCAGGTACTCTCCCTGCTTCATTGTATGGGTCCGGAGGCTCGCCCGCTGCTGGACACGTTTTCGCTCGACGAAGCGCCTCTCAAATGGTATGACGCGGTGGTTTCACGCTGTACCGTTTTACCGCGCACTTCGCACATCCAGTGGACGAGCTCTACGAGTCGTCGCGTTTCCACAAACACGTCCAGCAGTCAGACGGCAGCGTGGATGCCTACACAGAGCTCTGCAAGCTCGTGAAACGCTGCAATTGCCCGTCAGCGGTGATAGAGGAGCGGTTAGTTCGCGATAGGTTCGTCGTCGGCCTGCGAGACACCCCTCTCTCCAGCAAGCTGTGTCGGAACGTATGGCTTGCCAGTCTGAAGAAGCTGATAAAGAAAGAGCTTCTGCTCGACCGAGCATCGAGGGCTCCCGTGCGGTCCAGGTCGACGCAGGAATATATGTTGATAAGCACATACCACTAAATTCGAAAGTACAGGGTGTCACAAAAGAAAATCTACACGGTCTTTCTTACAGCAAAAATAAGCTAGGCATCGCCGAACGCTCATTCTCTGCCCAAAGGTAGAGCTAGAGGTCACAACAAGATGCCAAAGTTTCAGCCCGATTCGATAACTTAATCAAAAGTTATGTGATTTTCTGAAAATTTCAATGGGAAAATGGAGCTCATTTTTGCCCGTTTTCGGTTTCTGGTGCCAAAGAGCCCCATGTGTTCGAAAACTCCGTCGGCCGCCATTTTCCCATTGAAATGGCAAACAGTCTAGTGGCCTGAGCAGCAGTGCACTGTCCTGATGAATTGGCCATTTATTTGTAAAAAATAACGAAATACGTGGCACGCGCACAGACGCGACATTTGCACCGCAAACAGGAGCGTTAGCACAGCTGCCACTGGTATTATGGTTGGGGCCGTGGGACCGCCACCTTAAAGAAAAATATGAAGAATTGTAGTCGGGGCTCGAACCCATGAGCCTACATGTTACTCACTGAGCCACCGTCTTTTTTTTTTTTTTTTTTTAAGGCCAAAGTGTACTTGTTTTGTTATGCAAAAAATCGGCGGCGTTGTGCCCGAAAGATGGTCACACCAATACGTCATCAAGCACGCGCCTCAGAAATAAAACAAAAAGAAAAGCAGAGCAACGCAGATGCTTCGCCACGGAAGCCTGAGGGGGTGCTCAAGGTCAAAGCAGACGCGCCTCAGAAATAAAACACAAAGAAAAGCAGAGCAACGCGGATGCTTCGTCACGGAAGCCGTCGTGAAGGCGGCGGGGTTCGCAGCGCCTGCGCAGTGGGCGAGCGTGGAGTCAGCGCGGGAGCGCCGTGTGAAAAAGGAAGATGTAGCGCTCTGCCTGTAGGAATGCGCTGCGTGTACGAATGCGAAAAACATTTTTACACGTAAGCAGTCTTAAGTATCTCCGCCGAATTTTTTTTCGCGATTCTTTTTAAATTTAAATTTGACCCCCATGATCGCTTTCGAGGACCCCTGGGGGTCCGTGGACTACAGTGCGAGAACCGCTGCTCTAGTACTGTCACCAATTTGTTTTGAAGATGGGAATATGAACCGGTATGAAGGGTCATTGTTGCGGAGCCGAGTTCAAGTTAAACTATCTTCCTCAAAACCGTCACACGAACCGAGACGAAATACATTTGGGTTCGACACCGTGCTATACGACCAATAGGGAGTATTCACTGGCGGCGATAGCTGTGTGCGCGACTGCTGAGCACGTGCTAATGGCGAGCTTTCACCGTTCTTTTGCGGCGTGCATTTTACACCATCGAGGTGGCCGGTTTTAGCAACCTAATATTGTGAGCTCGTTTCGAGAATACGTTTTCTCACTCACTCATGCGTTCTACACAGCACCCAGAAATATGTCGTCCCGTTCTTGTTTTCTGCGAGGCAGCCGAGGTTCAGGCTGAAAAGAACTCACAGTCCCGTTCCGGGCGTCGGTTGTTCACGTTTGATATAGGAGAGCATAATAGAGACTCTTGCACGTCAGATTGAGCGGAGTGGCATCAAGTCCCGAACTTTATTTATATCTCGTCTCCATTAAGTTCGTTCCCCGAGCTTGGATTGCTGGAGGGTCTTCGCGTAACAACCCTTGATATCTCGTTCAAACTTCTCTCCGAGACTGACACGATGGTGGTCTTAGATTGGACTCCTGTGAACGTTCCTTCGGCTTTGTACACGCACGAGGTCAAGTCAATCTTGACGAGCGGGTCGGAGCATGCCAGGCTTATCGGGTAAACGTAGAGGTGGCGACCGCCAAGCAACTCCTTGTAGTAGACCGTGAAGTAGCCCGAAACGATGATGTCAGCCGTCCAGTCGACAACCTGCGCAATTTGAACAAAAACAAAACAAAAAAACATTTGGCAATTGTTTGTTTATACGCTTTTGAACCGAGGCATTTTCACATTCTTTCTATCTACAGTGCTGTTTTCGTTTTCTTACTTCTCGAATGCATCTTTATTTTCGTGCTAGAATCTGAATTAAGTTCAGGACTTCTAAAAGGCTACCGGAAGCAGATTTTCACCAAAGCCTATCACGGGATCCAGAAATCGGCGTTTGCTTGCCTTGATGCCGGGCGTCATTCAGTGCGGAGATCCCACCGAACGCAGCGAATGGTTTTCGTACCTCGTCTCCCTTCAGGGTTACTCGTGATATGTAAGTGCTAAGTATACACCTTATCCACAAGGGCGCGGCCATCTTGAATTTCGTCACTTCTGGTATGTGGTAAAACGTGGGTTTGATCTCTTCACGCCGCTGGAAGGTGTTTACGAAAAATGCGTAATTGTCATCGACATTCTTGTTTTGCCTCACCTATATTTTCTCGCTTATTTCAGGTTGAAATGCTTTATTATTTTTTCGTCCCGCATACCAGATACGAAACTCACGTGACTGAGAAAGACAGGAAACAGAAAAACGTCTTGAGGCCAACGTGCTGTTTACAGCCAAGCCCTCACGAGGTGTGGGCACTGCGCGTGCGCAGAAACCAGATCCGCGTGAAGGGAAGCGTCTGCCCATGCGCCCTGCCGATAGCAGCACCGCCGCAGCGGCGCCACGTCAGCGCCACGTAGTTTGCCTCATACCCTCGGTCAAACACCGCGTGCCGAAAAAGTAAAATCCAGTCCGTTCAATTACCTCCTCCTGCTCCAGGATTTGCACCAGGATATCGACACTCTTCTGGGCTGGAATAGTGACTTGAAAGTCAAGGATGTACACAACTTGATTTTTGGTAGTTTTGCCTTGTTTGCTTTCATAATCCATCTGGAAGTACCTCGACCCACTGCCGCCGGCGACTAGTGGCACTTTTACGCTGACTGAAACTGATACGTTCATCTCAAACCCCCTCTTGGTGTTATAGGTCTCAGTTTCAATCTGTGTAGATTTTTCCTTTATATAGGAAATGAGGCTGCTCTGCTGATTATTTCGCACTTTCTTAGAATAGATGTTTTTCGGTTTCTGCGGGCCAGTCTCGCGTTTGCCGAACTTCATCGTCCTGGTCGACGCAGTCGTCACGAATCTGGAAAGATATACAGCGATGTTGACTGTAACCTGATTATGGTTATTGTTTTTGACATAGTATCGCGAAGGTTTCGTGACTAATCAAGGAAACAAGGAATGATGGATATGGTTCGTTTTGTCTCTGGATACTACGGGTATCGTAACTGGCGCAAGACACATACAAGGTCAAAGCATAAGTATGCACAAAATCGAAAAAAAAAATAATCGCTTGTTTCTAGAAAAAAATAATTTCACAATAGCAAATTTTTGGCTTGGGCATTCTCTCATGAAAAATAAAGCTCACCGTAAGACCTACGAATGCGGAGGGAAGCTTTCCAGGTGAAAACTCACTGTGACACTACAGATGCGGAGGGAACGTCACCACAAAAAGCTCACCTGGGCACCCAAGGCTGGGGAGGGAAGCTCACCGGAGAAAGCTCATTGCGACACCCAAAGTTGCGGAGGGAAGCTCATCTGAGAAAAGCTAACCACCACGCTTATGGATGGTGAAAGAACATCACTAGATAAAAAAATAACCTGACACCCAAGGTTGGGGAGGCAAGTTCACTGGGGAAACCCTCACCGCGACACCCAAAGATGCGGGGGGAAGCTCACCAGAGAAAAGCTCATCGCGACACCAACGAATGCGGAGAAAAGCTCACCTTAACCCCCAAGGTTACGAAGGGAAGTTAATCGGAGAAAAGCTTATCTTGATACCTGGGGCTATAAAAGCTCACCGCGGCACCTACGGATGCGGCAGGAAACTCGCCAGAGAAAAGTTCACCTCGACACCCAAAGTCGGGAAGGGAAACTCGCTAGAGTGAAGCTCACCTTGACACCTGAAGTTTGGGAGGGAAGCTCACCCGTGATAAGCTCACCGCGGCACCTATGGACGCGGAGGGATGCTTACCAGAGGAAAGCTTACCTTGACACCCAAAGTTGGGAAGGCAAGCTCAACAGAGAAAAGCCCTGCGCGGCACTCAAGGTTGGGGAGGGAGGCTCACCGAGAAAAAGCTTCACCGCGACAGCCACATATCGGGAAAGAAACTCACCTGGTAAAGGCTCACGGCGACACCTGCGAATGCGGGTTAGGGTAGCTAGGATTTCAGCACGCACGGATTGACGATCCGTCGTGCGACCATTCTGGCGCAACCACTGAATTGCTGCCATTTCAGCGGCAACCAAAACCGAGCTTTCGAGGCCCTAGGATGCTTCGAACTCTTCGCGCATAGAAACGGCTTCTCAGAGCTTCACGAAGACAGATGAACAGAATGGGAAATGTGTAATAGGATAATGGTACTGACAAACTAATTTCGGTTGTCCGAAACAATAAAAGCGAGAGTTTAACAACGATTTTGCCAGTGCCGGCACCTCTTCGTGCCTCCTTGTTTTCTCTCCCCCTACCCCCCCCCCCCCTCCCCCCCACACATACACACTTTTCTTTACACACACAAACCGGATTACAGTTACAACCGAAATGGAGTGTCTCTCGGATCTTTCCAAGCGTAAGTGAGCTTTCCTTTGGTGAGCTTTTCCATAACCTTCTGAAAAGGGATGCGTTTTTTTGTTTCCAATAATCCTTCTTCCAGAGATTTCTTTCTCTTTGTGTGTCCTGTCCAAGTGCAACTGCGATTCACTGCCGACGACCTCTAGCAGTAGTTGCCTTTCCCAAGTTTTCACACCCGGCTCGAGCCAAAAAAACAGCGCTTCGCGGCGTTCCGACTCTTAATGCGAAAGCATTAACTGTCCCATGGAGCGAAGCCGGTATTGTCGGTAACCGTCTGCAGTAGGAAAGCGGCACCCACACGCGGAATTCCCATTGGCTGCGACGCGCCATGTCATATTCTTCGTAACGGAAGCAACGGAAGCCTGCGGGGCGTTCAAGGTCAAAGCGGACGCGCCTAAGAAATAAAACACAAAGAAAAGCACAGCAACGCTGATGCGTCGTCACGGAAACCGTGGAGCCGGCGGGTGGCCGCGCTTGCGCAGTGGGGGATCGTGATGTCACCGCCGGCGCGCCGTGTGAGGAAGGAAGACGTGGCGCGCTGCTTGTAGGAATGCGCTGCATGTAGGAATGCTTTCGCATTCCTACACGTAAGCAGTCTTAAGTGTCTCTGCGGAATTTTTTATTGACCGCCGTGCGCACTAATCAACGAATGGGTTGGTTGCGTAAACACTACACTCTTAGAAAAAAGGGGACCAAAAGGAGGTAACAGACCACCTTTACAACCCTCCTCCCGGCCAGGAGGGAAGCGCTCCACTTGTTACCTCCTCAGGCGCAGCGGACACTAGGAATGCGGTGCTACAAGGTGAAGTTCGCCTCGAAGGGGCACCAAAGAGGTAAATATTACCTCCCAGAGGGTGCACGTGTTCGAGCACTGCCAAAGCCTTGGCGCTGCGATTGGCTGTGGAAAGGCGCAAACCAGTTCGCTAATTGGTCTCCTCGTATGACACGTCACTCTTCGCGCATGCGTGGGAGAGCTCTCGCCCGGCCGACCGGGAGCGTCGGCGCCACAGGTCGGCGCCTTCCCCGTCGACGCTCCCGGTCATAACGGCATAACGGTCTTTCTTCTCGAACGTTCGACGGAGGCGTCCCTGCGCAGGAACGTTCCTTATTGTTCTGTTCGGCTCAGTCTCTTCTTACGAGGTCACTGAGAGCACTGCATTGACTTCAGTCGAAGATCCAAGTCGTGTGCACCGTATGCAGGTAAGGAAATATTCTGCGCGGGCGGCAGTTGGCGTCGGTTATGACCGCCCGGGAAGGCGACCTCCGTCTTCCTTAGACAAAGGCTTGGCGGACATGTTGGCACGTTTGAAGGCGTCGAGCGTTCGATAAAATTAGTGTGTGGCGCGAACGCAGACACGGTTTAGACCATCGAAATTCATAAAGAGCAAGAACAGAAATGACTGTCGCTTGCGCTAGCGCATATTTAGAAGGTTGACATTCGCTAACCAGTGGCGTAACCAGCAGTTTTTCCCGGTGTATGTGTGTGCGGGTGGAGGAAGGGGAGAGCGGCGGTTCGGCGAGCCGGGCGACAAGGCGCCTTTTGAATCGGGGGTCGCCTAGGTTTAAGGCGTGAGGGGGTAGGAGGTTTTCTCTTTTTGGGGCCGTTGGTGTGTCGCGTCGGACGTTAAATTGAGGATCTGATCAAATATTTGAAAATCTCATAAGGTGGTTGGTGTCTTTTTTTTTTTTTTTTCGCAGAGCAGTAGTCGATCAGGCATTCATTGGCGGCACCGGCCAACAGGCGCGATTAATTCTCAACGTCGTTGATATTTGTAAAAGTCAGTATTGAACACTGATTTTTAATAGCAACGTTTTTGTTTGTTTGTTTTTAATTTAACGAGGTTTAATAAATAGTTTGGCAAAATGTCACGTTATGAAATACCGAATATAAATGTCTGAGCTAATTATTCGTGTGCTTCTCAAACATTAATAGTAGTATATTACGGAATGAGGTCATGAAGGTGTTACCGGCAGCGAGACTAGCAATTATATTGTCTTGGCATTTTCTTTGCGTGTGATCAGGCATTTCTAAAACATCATTCAGTAGGCGAGTTAGATATAACTCCAGTTTGCATTATTTGAAGTTGATTTAATATATTTCTTTCGTCCTGCGGCAACGTTGTAGGGTGATTTCGTCGAGGGTACTGGATGCCTGCTACCTTGGACTCATCTCGTGACAGTTCTTAACACTGTTAACTGCAGGTAAGCGTAGTTCGATATTTTATTCTGATTTTCTAGTTCCCATTTGTGCACTTGAAATGGGGCTCTTGATCTTTATGTTTATTTTGTGTGTGTGCTTTTTGTTCATTTTCGAGAGAAAATTGAGGGTATTTGTAGTAAATAAATTAGGGTAAGACACACAAGGCGCTTGAGTGCGTCTCTTTCGGTGTTCTTTTTTGTGTTTTCGTCCTTGTGCGCTGTTCTTCTCATGTCTAAATAAAACATACATTGAATTTTAATCAGGCAAATCACTTCGGCAAAAATATTTACATATTTGCCGAAGTTCGACATTCGGCAATTAGAAATTATTCGTGAACTCCGCAATCATTAAAAGTAGTATATTACGGAATAAGGTCATTATGTTGTTGCCAGCAGAGAGACTAGCAATTATAATGTCGTCATGACTTTTTTTTTTTTTTTTTTTTTTTGCGTGTGATTAGGCTTTTTTAAAAGTCTAATCTTTCAGTAGGCGCGTTAGGTATGGCTCAAGTTTGCATTATTTGAAGTTGATTGAATATATTTCTTTCGTCCTGCGGCAACTTGTGCAGGGTGATTTCGTCGAGGTTACTGGATGCCTGCTACCTTGGACAAATCCCGTGACAGTTCTTAATACTGCTTACTGCAGGCAAGCGTAGTTCGATATTTTATTTTGATTTCCTTGTTCCCATTTGTGCACTTGAAATGGGGCTCTTGATCTTTATGTTTATTTTGTGTGTGCGCTGTTTGTTCATTTCCGAGAGAAAATTGAGGGTATACTTCGAGTAAATAAATTAGGGTAAGACACACAAGGCGCTTGAGTGCGTCTTTTTCGGTGTTCTTTTTTGTGTTTTCGTCCTTGTGTGCTGTTCTTCTCATGTCTAAATAAAACATACATTCAATTTTAAATTTTAATCTGGCAAAGTTCTTCGGCAACAAAATTTACATATTTGTCGAAGTTCAGCATTCGGCAGTTAGAAATTATTCGTGCGCTTCGCAAACATTAATAGTAGTATATTACTGAATAAGGTCATTAAGTTATTGTCGGCGGAGAGACTAGAAAGTATATTGTTGTCTTGGCATTTTTCTTTTTTGCGTCTGATCAGGCATTTTTAAAAGCTGATCATTCAGTGGGCGAGTCAGATGGCTCAAGTTTGCGTTATTTGAAGTTGATTGAATATATTTCTTTCCTACTGCGTCAACGTTGTAGGGTGATTTCGTCGAGGGTACTGGATGCCTGCTACCTTGGACGCAACTGCAGGTAAGCGTAGTCAGATATATTATTTTGATGTTCTTGTTCGCATTTGGGCACTTGAAATGAGGTTCTTGATTTTAATATTTTCTTTGTGTGTGTGTCGTGTTCGTTCATTTTCCAGAGAAAATTGAGGGTATACTTCGAGTAAATAAATTAGAGTAGGACACACAAGGCGCTTGAGCGTGTCTTTTTCGGTGTGTTCTTTTTGGGTGTGTTCTTTTTCTTTGTTTTCGTCCTTGTGTACTGTTCTTCTCATGTTTAAATAAAACACACATTCAATTTTAATCTGGCAGAGCACTTCGGCAAAAATATTTGCATATTTGCCGAAGTTCGGCAGTTAGGGTTGGCGGTTATGTGGGTCTGCTGTGGTGCTGAGTAGCTAATGTGGTGTAGCGTTCTGTGGTGTACGTTCTTCCTCTGTCCTTGTCTTAAAGCGCACTCATGTTTTTTCACGTACAATACCAACTCGCCCAACAATCAGCACTTGTATATAATAACCTGCTACAGTAGTTGTACCCCTTTGACTAAGATTTGTTAGTCTTCTAAGTAAATCGGGGTGACAAATTTAAACATGACCGGCGAATACAAAGTGCTTACTAATCTACAATTACCACCAGCCATGTGATAATTTTAGTCAGTGGTGGTTAGTCAACAGTTAAACTAGTCACGTCTGGTAAGTATAGTTGATGCTTTATAATGCTAGAATCAGTGGCCCATCAAATGCTCAAAATGCGTATTAGAAAAATCTAATATTTCTTCACAGTTTATTTAAATTGGGGATGATATGTTTCAACTTCATATCACATGATTTCCACATTTTTTTGGTTCCAGGCAGGCGGTGCAATCTACCCGGTGTTAGCTCAAGCCTAAGTAATCCTGAGGCGCCCAGCGATGTGGCAGTGGAGGGAGACCTCGAAGCCGCGTCGCCTGCTGAGGCAGTCCTGGTTGCATTCTGCCTCTACTTCATCTTTGACTACACGTACATTACCAGTTCAGGCGCAGATTCATTACACTAGAGTACTTAATTGATCTGAAACACTCAAATGTGGAGTCTGGTGCAACGAATTGCTTTCGAACCTAAACGAAATGCCAAAAAGTAGTTTCTCTTTTAATGCCTTTTTATGCAGGTTTAGGAATTTTTTATGTCACTTGTTTAATGCTTTTTTTTTTTTTTTTTTTTTTGTCTGACATAAGGCAGGATGGTTGATTCTGAGAGTTACAGAAGGTCAATGATATTGCTTTAGAGTCACATTTTTGTAATTTCCGAACTCACAGCTTTTTGCTTTGTGCAGCATTGGCATACTTAATTTATTTCAGTGTACTTCATACTTGGTGCCTCAAAGCATTCGAGGGTTGTGGTTCCATGTTCACACTGATTTGTGCTTGCAAGGTTTAAATACAGCTCATTAGCAGCAGGAGATACAAGCCCTTCCTTCTTTCCACATTGGAAGAGCAAATCCCGGAGTCTGCTTTCCTCTACTCCAGCGTTCATTCCACTACTGTGGATAGGACGGGCATAGTGTACTGCTCTCCTTGAGTTGCAACGTACTAGTCATTGCTAGTCGTGTATTGCTTTGTATTGCTGTTTGCAATATATGTGATAAAGAATCTATTTTATATCACAGTGCGTTCATTTTGATTCTGGTTTGTACAAAACTCAGTCATTTGAGTTCACCCCAGTGAAGCTTCGCTATTCCAAGCAGTGTTCCAAGCATTCACTGTTATTTTCCGGGTAGACACCGATTGTTTATGTACTTTTTGTGATAATTTTATTGACTGTCGCGAACTAGAGCCCCGAAAGTGTTGTTCCAGATGCCTTTATTGCGCTTAGTGGTTTCATCTTAGAACTTTTATAAGATGTATAGTCATGCCATTGATTTTTATGCCATTTTGTTTGTGACAGCCACAATAAAACATTGTCATTTACTTTCAGAACTAGGCCGTCTTCATCTATTGTAATGCCCACCATTGAAACATGTACTATCGCACCCACAAAGGGCCATAGTACATTGTTTTAGGGGGCAAAAGTGATTCCATCAAGTGTACATTTAACCTGTATTAGGGGGTGAACTGGGCCAGTTGGTTGCTGTTATACATGAAGGGAAAAACAGCTCGGAAATCGCGGACTACGAAGAACAAACACGACAGGACAGCACTGTCCTGTCGTGTTTGTTCCTCGTAGTGCGCGTTTTCTGAGCAGTTTTCCTCGTCGTGTACATTTAACCCCAAAGTGGATCATAGTTCCCTCCAAAAGGAGGTAAAAGCAGCGCCCTCAATTACGTCGTCTTACCTCTCAAAAGGGTTGAAATTACCCTCTAAAGGAGGTAAAGGCTGACCCTGAAAGGATGCACTTTTAACACCAAAAGGAACTAAGGTTACCTCCAAAAGGAGGCAATGTTGCACCCTAACCAAGGAGGTAAGTTTGCACCCTCGTTGCAGGCGGTAATGTTACCTCCAAAAGGGGTTGCCCTGTGTGCTCGTCTTTTTCCCCCCTCAAGGAGGGTACTACAGTACCCTTTTTTTTTAAGAGTGTACCAAGTAATAATGGATTTGAAAACAACTCCGGCACCACCATTCGAAGTAGGTGGCGAAATCCTGGATGAACAGGTGACCAAAGCTTGGGCGGCCCCTGGACACGTGTCAACAGTGAAGCGTGTGTGTGTAAGTTACAATGTTTCAATCACTTTTTTTTTTTTAGGACGCAAAGCTGGTACAAATAGTTTCCGTAGCTCCGGACGCATGCGTCAGCGCTGGCTTTGAAGCGGCAGCGCAACCCACCGATAATTTTTTGCCTAAACATGATCTAAATAAAAAAAAAAAAGGTAAAATGAAGAAGGTATAATTTTCAGAATGAAAAGATTTTACTTACATGCCGTACTGCTTGTTCTTCTTAAAGAAGTCGTGTATGCCGTACATATCCCACCAAGCTATATCATTTTTCGGCTTGATGCGGTTCTCCACGAACTTTTTAACGTGATCTGCCAAGTCAAAGACTGCCCCCACTGGCAGATGTCGTCAGAAACGTCATCGGTCGAATATTTGTAGCTTCAAGCACATATATCTGACACGTGAAATTGCTTTGCATTCTATTAGAACCATTCTTTCCCTTGAATGTGATTTATAGGAGTGTTCCTCGTTAAATTGGGGATGAAACGAAAAAGGAAGGTACTTTTAAAACCAACTTTTGGGACATTTCAGCTTAGCCAGAATTCGAGAGTTATTTTTGTTGCATCAAAACATAATTGTACCTAATGGCCCGTTGAAATAAAAACAAAATAAAAACAACTGATATTTCATGCGAAAGATTGTTTCAGCTAGTATTTTACTCCAATTGCGTGCCTTGTCTCATATCAATACTACAAGTGGTTCCACCGCAGGTGGTTTGAAAGAGCCACTGGAGACCAATTGGAGCGTTAATTTATATAAAAAAAGTATTTTTATAAACCACAAAAGGAAAACAACCTTTTTGCATCGTCCTTTATCACTTGTCGAGCGGTTTTACAGCAGTCGCTGGACTGAAAACATAGTCGAGGAACTGTTGTAAAGCATTCGCGAACAAGCTTGCGCTCCTTGCAGCAATTTTTTTTTTTTTTTTTTTTTTTGTAGTAAATACTACTTAGTATAATTCTCTGATCTTCACACCTACGAGACACACGTTAGTTTTTTTTTCTCGACGCAGCAACAGTCGCAAACAAATTGAAAAACAACAAAAAAAAAAACAAAAAAAAAACGACCAAGTTTTGCCGTTTGAAGAGGTAGCCACGTGACCTGGCGCCAATTGCAGCTCACCAATCTTTATTATATGCACGCGCCGGCGTTGGCAAGACACAGGGCACGCGCTAAGTTTTAGACCGTTGTTCGGCTCTTAGACTTGCAGGGTTCGGCTATTACACTCACCGCAGTGAGTGGACGCGATCTGTTAACTGAATGCTCGTCGAGGCACTGCCTGTCACATGCTCAACTCGAGCACTCGCGAAGTACTCATGTCCAAACTATGAGCCGCATTGGCCTATCGTCACCAACAGGTGATTCCAGTGACTGCGCCAACGCTGCGATCCCTATATGACTACACGTTCCCTCTTAAGCGTGTTTCACATGGAGCGATTTTGGCCCTAGAGCGGCGCGATTTCTGCCGTCGCGGCGCTCGTGCCGCTGAAGCGCTGGTGCTGGCCAGAGCGCCGCGACGGCAGAAATCGCGCCGCTCTGGGGCCAAAATCGCTCCATGTGAAACACGCTTTATCCTTGAAATTCCACCGCGACCAAGTAAAGTTGTGTTAAGTGAGAAACATTCCAACTTAAGATCGTTTAACGGCCTCCTTTAAGCACTTCTCAAAACTGTAGGTTCGTGCATATATGCGTTCTTCATAATTTCGCACGAGCGATTGCTTTTGTTTTTTCGTCTTAAATTTTTTTTTTTTTTTTTTTTATATATTAGGAGCGTCGTCGCGAGCCAGAACTGTGCTTATCTGGACCTGTTTGATTGGTGTATGACGGTATTGAGCTCAAAATTAATTTTACGACTCTGGTAGGATTTGACAAAGAAATATCCACCGTCAACTAAGGCGCTCCTTGTACATATTGCGCTTTTATATATTCAAACTCCTCAGCTGTCCAGTCAGAGACTCTTCTTTTCGACTTCATTGATGGGTGACACGGATCGTAAGTTTTGTAACTATACACGACGAAAAGCGTTACAGCGCCTCTATAGTTTCTTTGGCCAAGTAACGGATTTATTTTTAAGAATCGTAAAATGCTTTTGTCACGTGCTCAACTTTTTTTTTTGTATTACGGGTTATAATAGGCCACTTTGAATTATACCTATATTTAAAATTTATTGTTTGTAATATATGAACCTTACTGGTACACTGGATGTACTTACCCCTCGCCACGTAAATCTGCAATATAGAAGTGAAATATGTAAGCTTTTACTTTTTTATCAAAAGCAAATTAACAGCTAAATGCGTGCTTGTTTTCCTATTGTTCCATTGTCCAACCGGAGCACCGCGTTATCAGAATAGGGACTCGGTGGGGGGGGGGGGGAATCGCTGCTGCATTTGGAACCGTTGTCCGAGTTTAAAAAGTCGGTGCGTTGAGAGCGGAACCCGATTTCTCTCTGCCAGGCTCTATGGTAACTGCACGAGTTGCGACGGCATATTGTGGCACACTCATCTAAATAGACTGATCTCATGAAGCGTCCCACGCATGCGTGGCGGCGACGTAAAGGCCGGTGCTCACATGCAGCAAAGCGCTGATGTAGCGCTGCTCACGTGGCGTCAACTACTTATTGTCTGCCATGACCAACAGTTTCGACAGTGCGATACAAAGCTGGTGAACGCTCCCGTCAGCACGCGCTAAGCTCGAGGTCAGCGCTCTGCTTGTAGCGCTCCGCTTCATGTGTGAACAGGCGTTTAGTGTACTTCGGAGTGGAGAGGTGCCAGTGCACGAGATGGCTCCTGCCGTTCCGTGCTCGACTCGCGCAGAGCTCCAGCGGGGTTGTCGCGCGTGCAGAAAGATTACAGTTCCCATGCATGGTCCATGCTGGCAGCGGTGGCATAACGAAACTAACTGGTGAGTTCAGTCTAGTGCCACTAAATAAGCTACGCTTCAGAGTAACGACGCTTGCCCATATTGTGGCTTAAAATTATGGTTGCCAGTTAATGGAAGCTTTATATGAAATCACAGGAAACGCTTTTTCGTCCTCCACAAATCTTTAAACAGTTCGCGGCAGGGCAAAGCAATATTACATGAGCTTCCTAACACCGAATCTAATGCTGGGGAAGTCGCACTTTCGAATCATGACGATCGGCAGTTGCGTCTGCTCTGCAGAAGAACCAAAATGGCGACGCCCACAACAATGTCGGGTAACAAAGTGCCGGTAATCTAAGCGCAGCTCATTTAGACGCTCTAGTTCACTCTACTGTGAGCAGGCATTTGGAAGGAACTTACGGAAGCCCATAGACTACTGATGAGAAGAAGGATGACACACATCGTCGTCAGCTGTGCTTGGAATACAAGATTCGAGAGCGATGATATCTAAAATAATTGTCGAGAAAAAAAAAAAAAAAAGAAAAAAAAAAAAGAGTGTTTTGGAGTATTTTTTTGTTTCTTCTGAAGTTGAACTGCTATTTGGATACAAGTTAAGAATCCGGCAGAAGCTCCACCCCCAGAAAGCCCTCGTTGCCTTGTGTTGCGCTTTGACTGGGCGTGTTCACGAAACCCCGAAGCGTCACTGAGGGTGGAAAGCTGACACTAGAGGCGGCACTTCTGGCGTATTCTTAACTTGCGTCCGACGGTAGCGAGAAACTCTCATTCGGTATTGTTTTACTTTCGTCGTCGTTGCAGCCTTCCCTTTGTCACGTCGAATGATAAATGCACAATATGCACAAACTATGGAGCGTCTCTGGCATGAGAACTTTATCGAAGAAGGAAGAGAAACAGCTGCCTTCCAAAAAAAAAAAATATATATATATATATATATTTTTTTTTTTTATTGGAGCAACGCGTTGGAAATGTGCTAAACTCGAGAAACAGAAAACGCTGCTGTAGGCCATTGTCTCCAGTTTGCATACTTTTTTGTTCTGACAGTTGGTGCACTCCCTGTGGTGATGCCGTATTTGGCCATATGTTCATACCTTTGGGAAATATTTCACTGAAGGGCCAACGTACTCTTTTACTATATGACTTGTGAGCCTGGACGATCCGGCCGATAATGCGGGAGCACACTTTCACTCTTGCGCTACTCAACATCACCGTCCTCCATTCTGCGATAGACAAGCGGGCATTGAATCGAGAGGGCCCCGACGTCTTTGAAGTTATTCGAGTAGCTCTCTTACTCCACGCACGCGCGGCACCGCCATAACCGTAGTTCACAGGGGATATTTCTTTTTGGTATTTCCTAGGTTGAAGGGACTATAATTCGGTACGCTGGCAGGACACTGCGAGGCATAGGCAGGTCACTGCAAGGAATCAGTTCACTCCAGGACGGGATGTCACGCTCACGGAGTGGCTACCGTCTATGTTGATGCAACGAGAGAGCTGCATTTTTAGAGCGCAGCTCTTAGGGGCCCGCTCCCGGCTTGAGCGGCGTCGGCGTAACCAAGGTCACCCCAAGGTCACGCGGCCCCCAAGGTCATCCCAAGGTCACGTGACCCCCAGAGGTCACGTAACCCCTCCCCCGAGGTCACGTGCCACCCAAAGTCACGTGACCTCAAAGTCACGTGACCCCCCCCCCCCCCCCCCCCCCGAGGTCACGTGTTTTTCTTATCAGAACGTGCGATTACTTTATTTGCCATAATCCAGTGTTGGGTAGAGCCCATAACAGCTGTCGCTGTGAAAATTTCCTTATAACGTCCCCCCCTCAAAAAAAAAAAAAAAAAGAGAAAAAGAAAACAGCCTGTTTTGTAACAATATTTAGAGCAGAATTTCGCTTTTATTTGGTTACAAAAACTCTGCTTTACATTTTTAAAAACAGAAGCTGTTTTTTTTACTAAGCTGGGCAAAAGAAAGTTAGTCAGTTTACAGAAAAGACAAGAAACAAAAAGATTATGTTTAACAAAAATTACGGAAACAAAGAAACGGACGAAAACAGATAATTTATAGCAAAAAGATGCCAAGCTTTTTTTAATATATTTTTACACAGTTATGTTTCACAAAGTACGTGTACGTATACTGAATTATGTTTCATCTAATAGATGGCACTGCATTACCCAAACTTCACATTTCACTGTTAAAGAATGTGTACGCTTATTACTTCCAATCTCTCCAGATCGGAAAATCAATAAAGTTTATGCTTTCTAAATCCAGGCTACATAAGTATTACGTACGTCAGCAGCTACACGAAAACAGTCGACATTAAAGCAGAACGCGGGCTAATAGCTTCTGTGCACTACTGCTCTAAAATGGTCCGTGCGGTCCCAGAAGACAGAAACAAACTATTCCCTTCATCAAATCAACATTGAATTGATAGCGTTCACCTTGCATACAACAATGAATTCAAGGTGAGCATTTATCCGGACCCGCACAGGAGTGGGTGAGCTTCTCTCGGGTGAGGTTTTTTCCGGATAGGCCTATTTCCGATGAGACATTCTCTGTTAGTTTTGCTCTCGCCTTCTTTCTGCTGAGCGCAACAAATTTTTTTGCCCCTCGTCTCCCTTCAGGGTTACATCTGATATGACCCCGTTAACGCCAAGGTACTCGTGAGTTGCCTGAGACACTCGGTCGAGTTATTTTACCGGCTTTGCATTTATGCGTTGGTCATCCCTTGCGTGTCGACTGTCGAGGAAGTGAAATCCAGTCAGTTCAGTTACCTCTTCCTGCTCCTTGAGCAGCACCTGGATTTCGATCACCTTCCGGGCTGGAATAGTGACTTGAAAGTCAATGATGTACGCAACTTTATTTTTTGTAGTTTTGCCTCCTTTGCTTTCAGAATCCAGCTGGAAGTACTTCGACCCGCTGCCGCCGCCCATTAGTACATTGACTGAATTTTAAATGTTCATCTCAAACACATTCTTGGTGTTGATGGACTCAGTTTCAATGTGTATATTTCTCCTTGATATAAGAAACGAAGTTGTTGTTTTGATTATTTCCCAATATCTTAGAATAAATGGTCCTCTGGTTTGGCGGTCCGATCTTACGTGGGTTTGTAGTTTATCATACTGGTCGATACACTCGTCACAAATGTGGAAACGGAGAAAAAGATGTTGACTGTGGCCTGATTATAGCTCATTTGTTTTCTGACACAGGCAACGTTGCGAAGCTCGTGGTGGATCAAGGAAATAAAACACAGTGGGAGGCAGCAGCTATATTTTTTCTCTGGAGGTCGCCGGTCTTGTATCTAGCTCAAGGTGCGTACAATAAGCTCGGCGTAATCACGCTCAATATCGCTCGAATACATGCCTCCCTTTTCAGTCAGGGAAAGGGTCACTGGATTTCGTTATCTGAAAATTAATATCGCCAAAGTGCTTTTGTCATTGTGTTGGGCATCCCTTCCTGCCGCTTGTGGTTGAGTTACCATGAGCATTTATTCTTAAGTCTGCGTCCACAGAGGAAAGCTCGCCGGAGGAAAGCTCACAACGAAACCAAGGGATGTGGAGGGAAGCTTTGATGGTGATCGTGATTATGATGAAAGTCAAGTGCACCAGACATCTTTTACAGCGAAGCCCCCCTCCCCTGTTATGTGCTAGAATCTGAAAAAAAAAAAAAATGCGTCCATGGATTGGATGTTAACAAAAAGCTCCCGTTTAAGCGGCGCTCCTTCGCTCCGATCGGTCGTGGCAAGTATAAATAAAAAGAGGGGGCAACCCGCGTGAGTCAGCCTTCCTTGGCATTATTAGATAGTGAGGTCCTGATCCCTTGGTATCGTCTACGGTCACCGACTTATCTCAGCTAAGTGTGACGAGGCTGAGGGCAGAACGCGCCGATCTAACCTATTTTTCTTTCGCTTCCGCGATGCTAATAAAAAAAACCTGAACTCATAAAAAAAAATCTGTTTTCGTGGTGTGTCTCAAAAAATTGGGTTTAGAACTTGCCCGTAAGTGACTGAGCCCTTTAGTCACTAAGAATTAAATAAAGCCAATAGACCACTTTCGAAACACTGCCCTCCGTTGGCAGCTGTGGAATCCCTGCACAATGGCGGAAAAAAGCATCAACGTAACGGCACACTGGGAAAAACACACCCACAGAAAAAGGTGATGAGCGCAGTGACGTTGCACTTTCGACGCGGTTTGATTGGCTCGTCGGCTCGTAGTGTTGGCCTCGCTCCGACGTTCGCTATCTTATGGGTACGTTCCTCGATGCAGTTGTTCCGCCATTGTGCAGTGGTTCCGACCTTCTAATAATCGGCACGTGACTTTCGAAAGGGAAGTCGTGTACGTGTCTTCACTGCAATCATATGTAAATTCATATAGATGCCGTATAGTTGTTGTAAAGTTGTCGTAAAGATAAGAGCTTCGCTGGTTCTCCATCTTCACGTGAGGTGGGTGGGCTCTATAAATTTTACGCTGAGAAGCATTCACTGTGCAATGAAGAAGGGTATTACGAAAGATGGAACATACACATGGCAGCGGCGGCAGCGCTGGTGAACATTTCTAATCTAAGCATCACGTCTGCGACAGTTGTCTCCTTGGAACCTTGCCGATTTTGGGCGTTTTTTTTTATATACTCAAGGAATTTTTTTTATAGAAATTCAGAGGAGAAGAGTCCACACTCAAAGCTTGAACGGCGCTCAGTGTGCTCCTGCGCAGGGGCGACCACAGCTTTGGCTTATGTGTTGGAAGTTACGCGTTACAACTTACGAGTCGTTCATAACGCGTTAGCGTTTTCAGAAATGCACTAAAGTACTCGTTATTATTCTAGGTGACTGACGATCAAAGTATTTTCATGACTATTTTATGGTATCGCCTGTCAAATTACTTATAACCAAAAATTACTCATCTTTCCACAAACCGGCGCTATTGGCAAGGGACTATGAGGGCCGGGTGCTTTTGTCTGGCTTGTTTTCCACAGAGCTCCTTGTTTGTAAACACAAGGCATTCTTTACGTCGTCTGCCAATGCGGGACACGAATTAGACACAAGTGCTGCGTCATCATTCGGCTGGGACTCGTGTCAAGTGGTCCTTCACGCACTGAACACGAGCCCCTACCGAACGCTGACGGAGCGATCGGCTGTGTCAGCCGAGCGTCCGAAACACAAACACATAAGAGATTTTGTTGCCCTCGTGGTTTTAGCTCTCAACGTAGCCGCTAGGGACGCGACAGCTGGATCTCCTCCTCAATACACGGCGTGATTTGAAGACCCTTCAGTAAGAAAACAATTAACATTCACATGACTGGGCATAAGCAAGCCGGAAGATTCTTCGCTGCAGGGAAGCCGCCCCCAACAGGCTTTAGTACATGTTTTGTAGAACAACTTTCTCAAAAGAAGGGCCTCACTATCTTTGAAGACCACAGCTGCAATACCATAACGACGCAGCCGTCTTGCATTAAGGCCC